TGGCCCGGGACCCTCCTGTCGTGGCACTCTGCATTGTGTTTCGGTATGTTGGTGATGTCACATGGCGTGGTGAAGGAGGTGCTGGGCCAGACCAGGCCCGGGACCCTTCCGTCGTTTCATTCTGCATTGTGTTTTGGTATGTTGGTGATGTCACATGGCGTGGTGAAGGAGGTGCTGGGCCAGGCCAGGCCCGGGACCCTTCCGTCGTTTCATTCTGCATTGTGTTTCGGTATGTTGGTGATGTCACATGGCGTGGTGAAGGAGGTGCTGGGCCAGACCAGGCCCGGGACCCTTCCGTCGTTTCATTCTGCAGCGTGTTTTGGTATGCTGGTGATGTCCCATGGCGTGGTGAGGGAGGTGCTGGGCCAGGCCTGGCCCGGGACCCTCCCATCGTGGCACTCTGCATTGTGTTTTGGTATGTTCGTGATGTCACATGGCGTAGTGAGGGAGGTGCTGGGCCAGGCCAGGCCCGGGACCCTCCTGTCGTGGCACTCTGCATTGTGTTTTGGCATGTTGATGATGTCACATGGCGTGGTGAGGGAGGTGCTGGGCCAGGCCAGGCCCGGGACCCTCCTGTCTTGGCACTCTGCATTGTGTTTTGGTGTGTTTGTGATGTCACATGGCGTGGTGAGGCAGGTGCTGGGCCAGTCCAGACCCGTGACCCTCCCGTCGTGACATTCTGCATTGTGTTTCGGTATTTTAGTGATGTCACATGGTGTGGTGAGGGAGGTGCTGGCCATCCTGTTCCCTCCTCTGTCTTTGTGCTGGACCCTTGTGTGTTTTTTTTGCTGTCTGGACTGCTGTGTCTGTAAAACATAGGCAAATACACCAAAACATAGCAAATTAACATTTAACCACTTACTAACCACTAATCTGCCTCGAAAGAACTTTACTGCTAATTACCTTTACCAAAGGTAACTGCTAATTACCTTTACCAAAGTGGGCATGGTGATTTGTTGAGATATATCATTTTGAAAAATGCTAAACATAATACATTTTATCAAAATCTTTTGAATGAAACAAACTTCCACCCAGCTCATTACCAAACATGCTTCAACACATAAACCCACGGGTGGTTCCATTCTATTCCCTTAAAGCCAGATGAACATGAGGCAGATGCTGGCTCCTTATTCGCTGCTCCATATTCAAAATTTCCGTTCTTCCTTAAATGTTGGGAGGCCAACTGCAATGACGCTATTGTACCTGTAGGTGGAGACATTTCAAAAGAGTCGAATTGCAGCCCATGACAGGGCGTTTCTGTCAAAGAGGAACGCCCTCCCCATGACGTTGTCATTAAAGTACTGGAGTACCTCAATGGAAGCAAGGTTTGTGGCAAATGTATTTTGCATAGAAGGCTGGTACATGTTAATGAGGTATGTTTGCATGTAACTTTTTGTGTGGTTTTTCCTTAAGCCTTATGCCTTGTCCACACGTACACGGGTATACAGTGGTACCTCAGAACTCGAACTTAATCCGTTCAGAACTCCGGATCGAATTCTAAAAAGTTCTGATCAAATTTTCCCCATAAGAAATAATGCAAGACCAATTAATTGGTTCCCGGCCCCAAAAAATTACACCTAAATATATTTTTTTTAGCATTTAAATACAAAATGAACCGGATAAAACAAGAAGAGCATATACTGTACTAAACACATCTACGCACATTTATCAAAACAGTAATTTGTAAAGTAAGAAAATAAATGTTTCCAAACAATGTGTAAAGTTAAAAAAAACAATGTGTCCTGCCCCGTTCGGCCGC